AGTAGCATCATCCCAATTTTTCAAATGCATCCACTGAGGCACAAGTTGTTTGTCCATGGTCTCTTTGCTGTGCGTGGCTGATGGGGATTCAAACCTGAGTTGCCAAGTTACAGAGTCCATGTTCTTAAAGATTATGCAATATTGCCTCTTCATGTGCGAATCTTTATGAGAATAGGCATGATACTTGGCTCCTGGAACGCAGTGGTGAGCAAGATAGGCACTGAGTTTATTATTTACTGTGGCAGATCAATTCTGAACAAGTAAATACATAATAAAAGTAATAAGCACTCATAGTGGTGCCAGATCAAAAGAAAATTTAACATATCTGCAGCTATAATCTTTGCATTACACACACATACACACACACTCATATACAAATAGATGTATAAGATTTTTGTGTTTTTTTTGTTAAATAATGGGGCATGTCTGCCAATCTTTAAAGAACATAAGCATGAAGTCAGAGGCCTGGCTCTACTGCTCTCTTAGTCTGTACTTCTCATAAATGAATCATCTCATTGCATTGTGAACGCCTGGAGTGATTTTAATATTAAAGGGATGCATTTTTCACTCAATATAGCCACTAAATATGAACTAGTTCCTTCCTCTGGAACGCAACTGAGGAACGAGTAGTCTAGGCTACCACTGCAGGCATTATGAGAGCATCCTGAAGGATTTTCAAAACTAAATCTATTTGTAGTTATTTCTTTTTTCCCTGGGTTCAGTAAATCCCCAAGATTTGCTTCTATTTTTGTTCAAAAGGGAATGTGGATATTCTCTTTGTACTTCATGACAGCATGTGCACAATCCCTTGAAATCTCTGAAAACAGACTTTCATGATCCATTTTTTTTAAAAATAAAATTGCGGTGAACGTAGCATAGTAGGTTAAACCTCTGCCTATGATGCCAGAATCCCACATGGGCACTCGTTTGATACTCAGCTGCTCCATTTTTGTTCCAGCTCCCTGCTAATGCACCTGGGAAAGCAGCAGAAGATGGCCCAAGTTCTTGGGACCCTGCACCCATTTGGGAGAACCAGAAGAAGCTCCTGGTTCCTAGCTTTGGCCTGGCCATTTGAGGAGTGAACTAGTGGATGGAAGATCGATCGATCGATTGATCTATCTATCTATCTATCTATCTATCAATATCTTCTCCTCCTCTGTATAACTCTACCTTTCAAATAAATTTTTTTTTTTTTTTATTATTTTTGACAGGCAGAGTGGACAGTGAGATAGAGAGACAGAGAGAGAAAGGTCTTCCTTTTGCCGTTGGTTCACCCTCCAATGGCCGCCGCTGCAGCCGGCGCACCGCGCTGATCCGATGGCAGGAGCCAGGAGCCAGGTGCTTTTCCTGGTCTCCCATGGGGTGCAGGGCCCAAGCACCTGGGCCATCCTCCACTGCACTCCCTGGCCATAGCAGAGAGCTGGCCTGGAAGAGGGGCAACCGGGACAGAATCCGGCGCCCCGACCGGGACTAGAACCCGGTGTGCCGGCGCCGCAAGGTGGAGGATTAGCCTATTGAGCCACGGCGCCGGCCTCAAATAAATTTTAAAAAGTAAGAATTTAAGAAAAAAAATTGAAAAGGCAAGAGAGAAAGAGACACAGAACTGTTTCACCTGCTTGTTCACTCCTCAAATGCCCACAACAGCTGGACTGGGCCAGGCTGAAGCCAGGAATCCAGAACTCAATCCAGGACAGGGACCTTTTACTTTGACCCATTACCTGCTTCCTCCCACATTGGTAGCAAGCTGGAATCTGAGTGGAGCTGTGGTGTAAACCTGTACACTCTGATTGGATGCAGGCATCTCCAACCAGTGTCTTAACTGCTATGCCAAATACCTGCCCCCATATCTATTTTGAGATAAAACTGCACTGGACCTAATTCATTCAAAATATGACCTGAACTCTTTTGTAGTGTACAATTTCATTTCTTTGCAGAAATATTCCTTTAATTCCTTTAATGCCCTAGACCTTGCAGGGGCATTCTACAATATGAGGCATATACACTGTATTAACTCTTCAAATCCCCAAATTCAAATCTCAAACATGTCAGAGAGTGGGCTGTAGATCTGTAAAATAGGAAGATGACCCATATAGCACATTTGTCACTGAATTCTGAAATGCCATCAATATGAACAATTAAATGTACTTTGTAATAAGATACTTGTGGCTGTTTTAAAATTTTTAAGCTACTTATTTTTAATTGGCAAATTAAAATTACATATGTTCATGAAAACAACATGATATTTTGGAAGATGCCCACACTGTGGAATGGCTAAATCAAGTTAGTTAGCATATGCATTACCTCATATATTTACTTAATGTTGTAAGAACACTTAAAATCTACCTTCTTAGTGATTTTAAAAATTACAATGTATTATTATTGATAGTCACAATGTTGTATAACAGACACTTGAACTTTTTCTCCTAACCTATTGAAATCTTGTATTCTTGTGTCAATATCCCCTAATACCACCCTCAATCCCAACCAGCACCTGGTAACTGCTATTCAAGTCTCTGATTCTGTGAGTTTAACCTCTTCAGAGTCCTCATAAGTGAGATCATACAGTAAAAGCATACTTCAAAAGGCTCATGAAAAATGGAATTAAAGGTAAGTTTCTTTTTAATGCAAAAAACTGATGAAATACATAGGTTCTTAATAATTTTCCATTTTCCATGAAATTTTTGTCTTTCTGTGCTTGGTGTACTGGAATATTTCATTTAACACAATGTTCTCTGAATTCATTATGATGTCATGAATGACAGGATTTCCTTCTTTAGAACTGTATCATATTCCATTAAGTTCTATAGGCTACATTTTCTTTATCTGTTCATCAATGGGTGGACATTTAAGTTGATTTCATATCTTGACTATTGTTAATGGTGCTATAATAAACATGGGAGTGCAGATATCTCTTCAGCATACTATGTGTACAGTTTTTGGATATATGCCCAATAGTGGGATATTTGGATCATACAATAGTTCTATGTTGCTGTTGTTGGAAGTTTTTATTTATTTCAAAGGCAGAGTGACAGTGTGAGGACAGATAGGAAGACAGAGAAAGAAAGAGGGAGAGAGATCTTCCATGCACTGACTCACTCCCCAAATGGCTGCAGTGTCCAAGACTAGACCAGTCTGAAGCAGGGAGCCAAGAACTCCATCTAGATCTACCACATGAATGGCAGAACCAAAGTACTTGAGCCATCAACTGCTACCTCCCATGTTACACATCAACAGGAAATTGGATGGGAAATGGGTTAGCTGAGACTTAATCCTTGGCAATCTGGTATGGAATGCAGGCATATTATATTTAAAAATTTTAAGATGTGACAGACTCAGTTTATTAGCCTAACAGTGAAAAAAAATTAGAGTCTTAAGCACATTTGTTTTCATAGTTACTCCTAGGAGAAGAAAAAGGAGGAAAAAAAGAAAAGGTAGAGGTGGAAGCTAAAATTTAATGTTTTGAAAAGCCTTAGAAAACAGGTAATGGGGCTGATTTAAGGCTGGTTGAAAAATTCATGCTAAGAATATCTAGCAAAGATTGTACTGAGGTTTCCTTTTCACTGAATATAGGTTGAAAAAATGAAAATGAAATGAACAATGGCAACATGAGGGTGAGAAAATGATAACCAAGCATGAATTTTAAATATTAAAGCAGATAGCTGTTACATTAGACATCAAACATTCAAGGAATACGTATGAATTTCCCTGCTGTCCTTGGCGCTATTCATTCTCTATTGGTGAAAGTGACATTTACACTTAACGTTTGTTTAAAGAATGTTTAAATTGTAGAAAGCCTGTGCACATTGCGCTCAGTTGGTTAGTCCTGTTTTCCTTTCTCCATAACCATAATTAGTCACTGCTAATCATTTGGGACACCTTCCAGATGAGAGGCCCAGTGTGGGGCAGGTTTGAAAGCTGCTCTAGGACATTCCCTGGAACCTTAATGTTTCTCAGAGTGACTAGAATATTCCAGAGGCATATTTAGTATCTTAACTTCTCCACAGTACAGAGTGACCCCCTGGGACCAAAGAGCCTGACAAGCCACTCTAAATGTCCCACTTAACTACCTGGAAATAATTGTGGCAGTGGAAAGAATTCAACCTGAGGTACACAGAGTTGAGAGTCTCTGGTTTCTGTTCCGCAGAGGGGGTGAATATACTCATGATGACACCTGGAGAACAGCTGCCACTTTCTATTTAGACTGTGATGATATTCATGAAGGACATGGACTTCCCCCTCCCCCTTTTAGAAAAATGGATGTCCTTAGAATCTACTTCATATGGTTTCATATGGTTTGCCTCAGAGCTGCTTCCAGCCTCAACAGTGACCCTGGGAACTATTCAGATGTGCCCTGATGGACAGAAACGGTCTTGTAGGCATCCTGGCTGGGGTAAGGAAAGTGACATTGTGACGCTAATGCCCTTTCCTCTAGGCTGCTGGGGTCCATACTACCCTGATCAGGAAAGGGTGGCTGTACCTTCTTCCCAGGCCAGGAGCCCATGGGCACAACTATCACAGTGGCCATGGTCATAATGAAACAATTTTGACTTTTTTTTTCAAATTTTATGAGATACAGAAATTCAAAGATAACTATTGCATTCTGCCGCCTGAGAACATTCCTTTTTAAGATGCAACTTCAGAGACAGCTCTGGAGGAAGGATGAGCTTGTTGTGATCATGGCTTCCCTCACTCTCGACAGCTCAGGATGGCATGGGCTTCCCCTTGCCACTCTCGCCCGCCTTGATTCTGGTCTCAGTGTGGTGGTCATGAAATCCTTGGCTGACTCAGAGCTAACGAGAGAAAGTCAGGGAGGTTTTATGTGAACTTTAAAACTGCGCCAAGGTATCCATCACAGCAGGCCTGACATTTAGCTTAATGGATGAGATCAGTGAGATATAGATGGGCCAGGCGCCCATTCCATTAATATCATGTGATATTTACTCTATGAGAGTGGGTTGTTAGTGTGCTACATTCATTTCTCTTTTTTTCTCTGTGATGCATAGATTCTCTAGCAGCATTTTGAAAGGGATACGTACTGATCAGATACGCAACAGAGTTAAAAGTTTTCATCAAATATGCTGAAATATCTTACCTTGCACTTTGTTCAAAATCTGTACTTTCTCTCCAATAACTCCAAATTTTTTTAGTATGGTTTGTTATTTATACATAGGCTACACTGCATAATGTGATGGTCTAGTCATCTGGCTACATAGTTATATGTATTTTAAGATTTATTTATTTGAAAGAATGACAGAGAGGGAGAGAGAGAGAGAGATCTTCCATCTGCTGATTCACTGCCCAAATGGGTTGAGCCAGACCAAACCTGGGAGCCAGGAACCTCATTCAGGTCTCACACATGGTACCTGGGCCCCAGTACTTGTGCCGTCTTCTGCTTTCCTGGGCACATCAGCAAGGAGCTGGATCAGAATCAGAACAAGGATTCAAACCAGTGCTCCAGTGTGGGATGTTGATGTTGCAAGCAGAAGCATACCTGGCTATATCCCCCTCCCATCTCCTAGTTATTTATCTTTTGGAATATAGAGCAAGCTTCTCCTTCTTCTGTGTCCTACAACCTTTAACTGGCCCTCTATCCATGATACGGGCACCTAGAGAAAGCAGAAGAGCCTCATGAAAGGGATTTGAGCTCCGAAGCACTTGGGTACAAATCCTGCCTTGACTACATACTGTGTGATCTCGGCCAACTTTTGTCTCTGAATCACAATTCCCTCTGTTATAAAACTGGGTTAACTGTAACTTCTTGATATGCTTGCCATGTGATTAAATGAGACAAAGTAGGTAGGGGTGGTAGCATAATACTAAACCACTTTAGTAAATATTGGACTCCTTTTTCATTCCCCATATTTTCCCCTCCCGACTACTCAAGTTTGTGACTGTTTGCCTGTGGTTGAAGGAAGGAAGGCGTTTTATAAAACTCAGGTGCTTTTCTAGAAACAGCACATGTGCTGTGCAGTTGGAAAGAAGCTGTAGGCTGCTCCTTGCAGAATCATGATGAAGACGTGCTTTTATATCATAGACTTGGGTTTTAGGAAATTTCATCTCAATCTTTGTCACATAGAAACCATTTCTGGGTTTGCTTTAGGTGCTATTTGTTTTGGTTCCTGTATAAGATCCATGTGTTATTTCTCTTTTGAAACTAGTACCAAGGGGGCCAGCACTGTGGCATAGTGAGTAATGCTACCACCTGCAGTGCTGGCATCCCATATGGGCACCTGTTCAAGTCCTGGCTGCTCTGCTTCTGATCCAGCTCTCTGCTATGGCCTGGGAAAGTAGTGGAAGATGGCCCAAGTCCTTGGGCCCCTGCAGCCACGTGGGAGATCTGGAAGAAGCTCCAGGCTCCTGGCTTCAGATCAGCCCAGCTCCTGTCATTGTGGCCACTTCGAGAGTGAACCAGCAGATGGAAAGCACCTCTCTCTCTCTCTCTCTCTGCTTCTGTAACTCTGCCTTTCAAATAAATACATTTTAAAAAATTACCTAAGACTATATAATATTTAAAAATAATACAGATTATTTAAATATGATAATTATTTTAATATGGGTGTGTGAAACTCATTTCAGGACATATGTATTTAAGTTTGTCCTTAAAATAAGTCAAAGTGATTTTGGACTTTAAGGCCTAGAGCCAAATGATTTCATGGGAAGTTGCTGTAATCCCAATCCCCAATTCAAGAGAGTTCATTTGTTTTTTTATTTGAAAAGCAGAGTAGAGAGAGAGAGAGAGAGAGGAGGAGAGACACAGAGAGATCTTCAGTTTGCTGGTTCACACCCCAGGAGGCCAGATGCACTTGGGCTATCTTCTGCTTTCCCAGGTGCATTAGCAGGCAGCTGGATCAGAAGAGGGGCAGCTGGGACTCAATCTAGTGATCTTATGGGCTGCCAGCCTCACGGGCAGTGGCTTAACCCACTGTATCACCATGTGAGTTTTGTTCTTTCCCCACATAGATTATTTTCTTCATTGGTATTGTGTTTCATTGAGTTGCAAAACTTGGAACAGAAGTCCATTTAGAAGTACTTGCTGTGTAGCTGAAGTTCAAGGTTTTGCAAAGGGCATATGAGAGGAAAGGAGTTTGGCTGTTAAACTAGCCTCTTTGTAAAAATTTTTAGAAAATGAGTCTTCCGTGTCAGAAATTTGGCATGGTTAGCAGTTTTCATTAAACCTGCTTCTTACAGATAGTCTTGTTCTATGTGTGGGTGTATGGAAGAGGAAGTGGTTTTGCATTGGGTTTACCAGCCCTGCACAACTTTCTGCTGACAACTGGCTGTCAACTCCAGGGAGGTTGTCTTTCTCTGCAAACATCTCTAAGTTCATGAGTCTCTAAAAAAGGGATTTTTCTTTAGGCATCACTGATAGCATACTTTGTGTGCAAATATTTTGAAAGGTGCAAAGCCTTTGCATTTAAGGTAGATTTCAATTTGTAGGAACAAGTCTTTTAGAGTTAACTACAGTGACTCAGGTAGATAACCAACTGGAATGAAATAATTTTTATTTAAAAGCAACATGGGCATACAACCCCTAGTGAGAAATAACTACAATATTATGGGAATAAGTTTCTTTTGGGGCTTGGGAACCAACTTTTGGGAATTTGAAAAATGCATAATGAAATCATTACTGAAATAGGCCAGCTTTTTGAAAAGTAAACAGTTGTATATGAAAACCTAGTGTATTATATCAGTTGCAGAGTTTATTATTATTATAATTTACTTATAACACAGCCAGCCTGGATTAGCCCATTCTTTCTTGCTTTGTTCTTTGCTAAACACAGCAACCTTGAACAAATAGATGAGTCCTGTGGTGTGGGGAACCTCCTGTCCCCGGTTGTCTCCCATAATGGCCTAGAGTCCTTTGAACTTAAAGGCTAATTGCTGATTAAGGGTTCCCTGTTAATGAAACTGTTTCCTAAGTTATACTTAAGATTTACCCTAAGACATGCTATGTCCTAAAGTATACCCTAAGATATACAAAGTACCCAGGGAAAGGAAGTGACCCATAAATACACTAATGAGCAGAAGAACATTGCAACAATCAATCAGCCCATCCAACTGCCAATTATTGGGTAATTACTGAAAATATACCATCTCCCAAATATTGCTCTTGGCACTGGGAGTACAAAGATGAACAAGAGGCAGACTTTCATAAAGCTTGATGTTTACTGGGGTCTAATAATAGTCATATAAATTAGGTGAACTAGAAAGATTGAAATGGATGGAGTGTATTCAAGGAGCTCAAGAGGGGTGAAGGAAGGTCCTAGGATTTTCTTTTTCTATAAAGATTTTATCATGTAGGCAGAGGGAAGGGGCCGAGTACTTCTTGGTTGCTGCTTTCCTCATAGTAGCCAGGATAGTGCTCAGATGTGTTTGCTTCCTATTTTCATGAATGTGTACCCATCTCTTTTTTGAAGTTGACAGCTCTCGCTCAACGTGTCTTTGGAAACCTTGAGTAGCTCTACGTGGTGCACTTAGGTGGGGGTGGAGCCACATACTTAGAATTCGGGGTACTTGCTGAGACACTCATGGTGATGGCTGTCTCTGGACTTGCTCATGGTCACAATTGCCCTGTGGCTCTTGTTGAGGCCCATGGTGGTAGAATAGCACAGAGCCGTGGCTGCCGCCCTTCAGTGGCTGCTGTGGTTCAAGTTCTGGGATATGTTTTTGTCCTTGGCCATTAGCCACACCTTGTGCCTGTACAAGAGTCTCCAGAGGGACCCTTCTTGCGAGCTGAAATGTGCTGGCTCTGGTGACTTGAGGACAGGATTTTCTAGGCCCTCCTCTGTGTGAAAATCAGCATTGTCCTGTCTCACAAGACCTGTTTGGAAAGGATGCCTGAGAAGTAAGGGTGTCAGAGAGAAACAACTGTCTCTGACTTTGGCAGGGGCTTTTTCTCCAAGTCAATCAAGCTACAGAAATAGGTGAGGCATGGGAGGAACATTTTATATATGTGACCCCTGTGTCCTAATTTTCTCCTTTGGCATGCAAAATTTTCCTCAGAAGGTGAGCTGCGAGCTTGCTTATTTTAAAAACTGCAACCTGTGAGGAGAGGGTGTTCTTTGACAACATTACATCACAGAAGCCTCTAGGTGTTGAGTCATCATTATTTTTAGGCAGCTCCATGCTTTTTTTGGTTGGTCTAAGAATAGCCCCTGGGTCTGGACTCTACAGAAAGTCACCTCGGTAAAGATCCTGTCACCACTCAGCATTCGGAACGCAATGCCTTCTTAAATTCCAGGTTCAAGGTACACATTTTGGAATTTTAGCTCCAAACATTCTGCCTTTTTAGATTTTTTTTTTTTTAGTGTCAACATGATGATTGTCAATAGCTGTCACTAAAGGTGTTCAATCCTTTGTCAAATGTACTTATTGCTGGAAACAAGAAGAGCAATCATGATTAGTACAATAACCATGCAGAAAGCCCTCCCATACAAGGCCTCACTATCTGGTTTGTGAATACCTTATCAATGATTTTATCCAATTTTTAAACATGTCAAGACACAGATCTATGCCTTGTGTCTTATGGATTAAGTGCCTCCAGATGACTCATGTTAGGACATAGGTTTGGGGTGATATTATTGGAATCTATGCAAAATCACCCAAAAGCAGCCAAACCAACCAAATGCAATTGTAGCCCATAGAACTAAATCAACATACATGAATCATACTGGAACTTGATGGTAGAGTGGAATTTGGTGGGGAAGTGTTGGAGGATGGTTTTCCCATTGCCAGTTCAGAGCATCCACTTATTTTATGTGCCACTTCTAAGCTCATAGGAGGACAAATGGTTTATGAATATAGCCTCATGCTTTTCTAACTAAAGCATAAATGACAGCAGCTGACTGGAGTCAAATTAGGCAGTTTACTATTACATTACAGTGTACTTTTGTGTCTTGAGGTGACAGAAGAGTAGCACATGATCTGTGTTGGCAACTGAAAGGACTGATGCATGCTGGGAAGGTACTCCCAGGTACTCAAAAGAGAAGAGCTTCCATTTTGAGCTGCTGGCACTCTAGAACAGTTGGTTCTGCTTTAAATTTCTTCTTTTTTTGTACAAGAGCAGACACAGAAAGAGGGAAAAGGAGAGGGTGAGGGAGGAGAGAGAGATGGAAGGTAGGAGTTGGGCAGGGACCCAACTTCTTGAGCCACCACCTGCCACCTCCTAGGGTTTTACACTGGCAGTGAGGTAGAATTAGGAGCCAGAATCCGGAATCAAACCCAGGGACTCTGATGTGGGATGCAGGCATATTAATCAGTTTTAACTGCTACCCAGATGCCCACCCCTGGTTCTGCTTTTATCATCTAAGAGCTCATACCTCATCTCCACATGGGTCATTCTCTCTTTAACCAGGGAAGTGGGGTAGCATAGTGTGATTACGAGAGAGGTCTCTAGCATGTTTCAGTCCAAAATCAAATTCTGTATATAAGTTGTGTTAATTGTGACTGGCAATTTAAGCTGGTCCAGTTACTTTAGAAAAGATTAACATTTACATTAGAAAGAGAAGGCAGCTTATTTAGTCTTCTGAACCTGTTTCTAATCTGTAAAACAGCATCACAAAAGAGCATTTATCTCATAGTTTGCTGTGAGATATAACTCAAGTGAACTAAACCATGGCACCTTGATCATGGCAATTACATATGTTGGCTAGCAATGGTAATAATTTCTGCATCTTGCATCATTTAAAACTCGCAGGACTCCTGTGCTTTCCTTGCGTATGGTTTTTGCTTAACTCACCACAGAACAATTACCTGGTCAGCTCCCATTGACTATTCCTACTATCCTCTGTGGACTTTCTAAAGCAAGTTGGGGGTAAGAGGCAGAGGCACCAGGTGGCTAACAAAGAGCCAGCCCAGAGGAAGGTGAGCTCCTTTTGCTATCTCCCCTGCATCCAGTGTCTAGAACAGCAACACGTTTCCTTACTGCACGAATAAAAGGTCCATCCTGCTTCTTCCTTCCCCTGAGGCTGAGTAGAAAGCTTCGTTTTTCCATTATGTTGAAGGTTCAGCTAAACAGCCATTTGGCAGTCCCCATTATGTTCTTCCCTGTGATCTGTATTGGACTTACACTGTAGTTGGAACAAGAGCCTTAAAAGTTTTCTGAAAAGACAAGTCTGTTTTGCCTTCCTGTTTTACTTTTCTCTTTTCCGGAGAAAACTGGGTTGGTTGACCAAGCCTTCTTTGTGAGTAATTAAAGTCATTTCAAATTTTAATTTCAGGAAACAAAAGTGGACTGAATACAAGATAGTCTTCTCTGCTGGTATTTCATCTCTGAGAGTGGGGAATTTGAGTATGTGTTAATTGTGACTGGCAATTTAAGCAGGTCCAATTACTTTAGAAAAGATTAACATTTACATTAGAAAGAGAAGGTAAATGAGAACAGAGCCTTTTAAAAATCTGAATGTGATTTTTTTCCCATATCATTAAGAGTTTTACTTAGAAGAGTCTTCAATTAATCCAAGCACATTTTTCTGAAGAAAACAGTATGGGGAATATCACAGCAAAAGAGCCAAATGAAAGGTGACATTTCTCTGGAAGAGAAACATTATTATAAAGAGGATTTGGATTTACATGGGTGGCTTTATTACACTTAATGTTTCATATGATTGCAGAACTGACTTTTTAAAGTCATTCTTTAGAGGACTCTATGTAGTCAGTGCAGACAGAGTGATAGCTAATGACATGAATGGTAAGCATTCAAAATGTCTTTTGTGCAGGTGGTCATTTGTTTCAAACTAATTATTACCAGCTCTAAGTGTGAGGATTTACATGCTGATCTATATAGGAATGTCATCATTAATAAATAATGTTGTGCAACGACATATTTAATTGCTGGAAACTGTTGCCAGGAATAGAATAGAAATAATATGGGAGGTGTAGAAGCTCTCCTGGCTCGATCTAATTCAGAGTTTCTCCAGCCTCAGTGTCACATTTTGGGCTGGAAATTCTTTTTTTTTTTTTTTTAAGATTTATTTATTTATTTGAAAGGCAAGGTTACAGAGAGAGACAGAAGGACAAGAAGAGAAATAGAGAGACAGACTTTCCATCTGCTGGTTTACTCACCAAATGACTGCTGCAATGGTCAGGGCTGGACAAGGCTGAAGCCAGAAGCCTGGAACTATATCCAGGTCTTTCACATGAGTGGCAGGGACCTAAGCACTTGGGCCATTTTCTGCTGCTTTTCCAGGAGCATTAGCAGACAACTGTATGGAAAGTGCAGCAGGTGGGTCTCAAACTGGTGCCCATAAGGGGTGCTGATGTCTTTGCAGCTTAATCCACTGTGTCACTGTTATATGTTAATGTTAGCCATCACAAAACACACCGAACACCGGAGGAAGGGAAAGGGTTTATTGGGGAACACCCAACAGGCCGGAGTGAAGGGGCGGCAAAGAGAAAGAGAGAGAAAGTATAAGAGAGAGAGACAGAGGAGCTAGTGAGGAGAGAAGAGAGAGCAGAGAGCAGGAGAGGAGAGCCAAGAGAGCATGTGTTCAGGAACAGGCCCTTTTAAAACTTTGCCTCAGGGCGGGCAGGGAAGCAGGAGCATCGAATCCCGTTAGGATGCGGGCGGAGCCTGGTCAGGTAGCTGGGCCATGCGGCCACCTGGCTAAAACTGCGCCAGTTTCCTAACAGTCACTGTGTCACAATGTTATGGGAAAGATGGTGGTGAAGCTATTATTGTTACTTTGGTTCTTTGTCTCACATGGAAGAAGAATTTCCAAGCAGACCACAAAGAGATTTAAACGTATTTATTAGAATCAAGGACCTCCAACCAAAGCGGCATGGAGGGAGGCTTCTAAGAGGAAAACCCAAAGGGGACTGACTGTTGGCAGTTGGCCTTTAAATACAATTTTGAAGGAAAAAAAAAATAAAACTTGATGATTAGATTGGCATTCAGTTACCAGGCTGGGGCAAAAAACCATCAAAAGACCTCATTTACAATTCTCCAATCCTGTCTGGCCTGTTAAGGGTGGGGTATATAACTCCTCCTCTGGAGGAGTCCCTTGCTATTCTCATGGTAAATTTGGAGATTCCAAGGAAGGAGGGCAGCCTGTCTTTCTTGCTAAAGATAAAGTTTTGGGGAAGGAAGCAAGTATTTTACACCCCAAATTCCACTAGGATCCCCTGACTATCTATTAACCCATCTGACTCCTCACAACAACACCAGCCAAACGGACTGAAAATTCTTGGTGTGGATGCTCTGTGCATCACAGATGTTTAGTAGCATCCGTGGCCTCTACCCATCAGATACTGGTAGTGCCACTCCATTCCCAGTAATAATATGAAAAATATCCCCATACATTGCCAGTTGCTACCTCTCCCAACTCCCCTGGGGGAAAATGCAGCAGGCAAAATTGCCCTGGTTGAGAAGAATTACTGACCTGGCTGACAGTTCTGAACCATGAGTTAGAGGAGTTGCCTGGGTATTTCTTAGTAGTAACCTACTCTACAAACTCATCTTACTGGATAATAATCCTTTGGGTAGGTCTCTGGAAGCAGGACTCACACATACACAGAAGGTTATACTCCAACTGTTTCCATCTCATCCAAGTTCTTCTTTTCTCCGTTCCAAATGAGGAGGCTGCAATTCTTCAAATCCTCTCTTGTCGGCCTCTTGGGCACAGCCTCTGCTTGGTGACCTGGAGGCTCCTGGGAGGCAGGCCTCTGCCTGGTGCTTCCTCATTTCCAGAACCTGTCTGTACACCTCCCAGGAGTGCTTCTCTGTGGAGAAACCGCAGGAGACTGCAGGATGCATGCTCTTGAGCTGACTTCTCTGCTGTTGCCTGCTCCCCTGTTGCCATCACTGCACTTAGGCCCAAGCCCCCAGACATGGTGGGAGTCGGGCCACTGAAAAGTTTCATTATGGGAGAATTTGTTCACTGCCTTTTCAATGGACCACATACCTATATGATCAGGCTTCATATTTTAATACTTTTGGTGACAGTGGGCATCCCAGGGATAATAAGTATCTTTGTCAGGTATGTAATACAAATGGGACCCACAGAAAGCTAACACTAGGATAATTGCTGATTGGCACATTGGTCACTTGGAGGAAACTTCAAAGTACCAAAGATGAACTAACCATCATATGAGGATCACACGAAAGGCTTGTCAGTTTGCAATAGGTAGCCTGTATTGTGAGTGCCTTTTTACAGTTCTACCAGTGATATGTTGAAGTGGGTTCTTTCCAGATAGCTGATGTTGAGTAGCATTTAACAGCACGGCTGGATGTTGGCCATGAAGGTGTCTACATCATGGAAATGAGCAAATTTTCATGAATCAGATTTCTTGACATAGAGTATTAGTTTTCTGTTGTAAATTGCTACAAACTTATGACCTTAGAATACTAGAAGTCAGAAGTGCTGTGTCCCTTCTGGAGGCTTTTCCATCCCCTAGTGGTTGCTTCCTCCAAATTCAAAGCCAGTCCAGCAGAGTTTCCAATCTCTTTCTCTGACTGCGTCTTTCATCATCACAACTCCTTCTCTGACTCCAACACTCCCCTGTACCACCTCCCTTTAATAAGTAGCCTTGTGAGTGCATTGGTTCCCCCTGGGTAATCTAGACTAATCCTCTCATGGTGAAGTACTGAATGTAATCACACCTACAATGCTCCATTTCCCAGGGAAGGTAGCATACTCACAGGTCTTGAGGAGAGGCGATTGCAGTGATCTGCATACCGCACCTTGGAGCTGACAACCAGCATACCACTGATTACACTGTGCCGAATTTCTCTGGATTTGAAAGTAGGGTGCCAATCTTAGGACCATACATGGACAAATATCTTTTTTTTTGAGATTTATGTATTATTTATTTGAAAGTCAGAGTTACACAGAAAGAGGAGAGGCAGAGAGAGATTGAGAGAGAGAGAGAGAGAGAGAGGTATTCCATCTGATGGTTCACTCCCCATTTGGCCTCAACAGCCGGAGCTGTGCACATCCGAAGCCAAGAGCCAGGAGCTTCTTCCAGGTCTCCCATGCGGGTGCAGGGGCCCAAGGACTTGGGCCATCTTCCACTGCTTTCCCAGGCCATAGCAGAGAGCTGGATCAGAAATAGAGCAACCAGGTCTCGAACCGGTGCTCATTAAATACCTTTCTTCTTCCATAGTTTACCTCCTGTCTCATCATTTTCAGCACTGCAAAAACAAACACTAGGATCTGATGTCTCTATTACAATTGCTAACCTAATTAGTTTCAACAAACAGAGGTAAAAATGTTGCCCAGAGTCATATAGAATATGCTCCTCTTCATTTAGGGCTTTCATTAGTGATCTAAGGTGGGGTTCGTCCCCCAAGTAAAATAGTAAGTATACTTAAAATTTTAGGAGTTTTTTTCCCCAAAAATATTACAGAAAGCATTTCTGTTTTCATGTGACAGTTAATGAACTTGACTGTCAAGAGACCTGTATGATGTATATATCCCACTTTTTCATGAAATTAGATGTGAAACCTCAAAACCAGATGAGTTCCTCAGTACATCATTTATTATCACAATAGAACTTTGGAATTGCTAATATCTTCAGTATACAAAATGTGCCTAGTTATGCTGCCGATTGAGACTTAGCAAACATGTTAGTCAAGTTTGCTGCCAACTGGTTATTTTCATGTTTCTTGCTTGGAAATTGGTTGTTTTTAGTGACACCCACAAAATAAATAGCATCCTATGATAAACCTAAAACTTATGCAAAGTAATTTTGATGGTAAATTAAGTCTTCAGAGTTGATAAAAGTTCAGTTAAAGTTTGTAAGCAGAGTTTATAAGTTATTCTAAAAAACAGCACATAATTTAGTAATAGGAAAACAGGATAGCAGAGCAATTGAGAAAATATACTGTAAGTTGCCTATCCCAGTTATATTTTTATGTTCACTTTATTTTGAACTTAATTGCCATGACTTTTATATGTAAATGTACAGTGTGGTTTATAATGCTAAATCAGTAAATATCAGGGACTTTCCCCTATTTTAATTTCAAATGAAATAAAATTATTCTGATACTGTACCAAGCCCATTTTCAATTGTCATACTGCATAAATTCTTGTACCCTAGAACATAGATCTTTCCTCTAACTTAAAATTTGATTTACTGTTGTGTTAAAATTGAAAGTCAGTTAATAATGCACTATTTTTGTCTCGTGAGGATTTTAATGTTTGTACTTAGAAATTTAGGAGACATGTTTGTAAAAATGAAAAAAGATAAAAAAAGAAGAAATTTAGGAGACGGTTTTAACAATGTCACATGAGTCCCTTGTCCTAGGAACAAATACTTCTGAGTTGTTCTAACACTTGAGAGCACCAGGAAGGCATTCCAGTCACCTCCAGCACTCACTCTTGCTGACTGCTAACCAGGACATGACGCTGACTTGCTTAGATTCCTTTTCTCTGTGCTGATTTATTGAGGAATGACATTTATTACATAATTACTTTGGCATCAGCTTATTTTTATCTCTAGGGGTTTTTATTGGTATTTAAAAGCCAGTTGATGTTTTAAAAAAAATAGAGATCTTCTGTGTCACATAGATGTCAATCAGGGAGATAAAAATGTGCGTGTGTGCATCTAAGCACATGCAATGCTGGGAAGGTAATCAATGAGAAGAAAATCGCTTAGCTGTTGCTTGAACTTTTCAGATGAAAGTTCTTCCAGGAGCACCTCCTGCTTCCTTATTCTGCTTCTGCCTTTGTTCGTTAATTATTTATACCAGCCATATTCTTCTCTGCCGGGGATCACTTTCCTGATTGATGGCATCTGGGGCCTTCCACATGAGAGTATTTTAAAGGCTGTATCAGGGAAGATCACTTCTTTCTTTTTCCTCCTCCCTCAATTTTTAATAACCCTTGAAATCTACAGCTAATAGCTTCCTTTAGCTCCCTTGTCTGTTGTTTCCTAGTCCATTTTCTTGGCCTAAGTGTGCTGACAATTTGCTATTGCAATTCCCTTTGAAGAAATAAATCTTTTATTTCTCAGTGAGAATGAATAAATATGGAGTCACACCTATTACATAATGGAGGGTTGCACTTCCAGACTCCCCACAAGAAGACAAGTTTTTAACCAAATTGTGGCAACTAGAAAGATTGAATGAAACTATATATGTGAGTGCAGTTTCATGCATGCATACCCCAAAACACTCTTTATTCTCCCCCCTAAGCAATTCCATATAAGCCTTTAAATTCCTACCTGGGCACATACAATTCAAGTTTTCTATTTCTGATCTATACAACCTCTCTGAGCTGGGTTGGTGACATCTCTCATCTTGATGTCTCATGGTGGAGAAACTCGTCATGTTCAAAACTAAACTCTTGGTCTCCCCCTACCTAGTTCTCCTTCCAGTATCCCCTGCATTCCTGAACCAAACCACCCCACACCCAGTTCTTCAAACCAGGGACTCACCTTGTCCCTCACCCACACCGTTCATTAACTAATCTCACTGATGCTACCTCCCAAACATCTCTCCTGTTTGTTCACTTTTAGCCCTAGTTCAAGCTTCAGGAATCTCTCATCTGCATCGTTGCTCTTGCCTCTGTCCTGATCTCTATCTGGTCTACTGCTGCTCTTCAACCTGTTTTGCTCTGTAGATTCATTGCTTTGAGTTTTGTTTCATTGATTTGTTGTTTCATTTGGTCCATTGTTTTGGGTTTTGTTTGGGTTTATGTGTAAAACCCACCAAAGACTTTTCATTCCTTTTAGGATAAAGATCTGTATTCTCAACCTGGTCCTTAGGACCCACACACCTGGGAGTTTTCCCCTCACATCCTAGCCCCAGGGCCGTCTGCCTCCAACCACATTGCCCTTCTCTCTTTCTTTCTGTTTACAAGCATTGCTATGTTCCAAGGGCTTTGCATGTGCTATTTCCTATGCTAGATCCATCACATACACTCCCATCCTAGCCTTCCTGGCCAGCCCTCCCTTGCTCACTTTCATGGTGCTTTCTTTCCTTCGAAGTGCTTATCTCAGCATGCGTGATCCATCCATACATGTCATTGTTAACTAAAATCGTTACATTATACCCTAGAGTCCAGGACAGCAGGAATGTATCTGCCGTACTGACCATGATCCAGCGTTTAGTGCAGTACTCAGCATCAACATTTGTTGAGTAAGCGAATGTGCAATACCTTTTATGGGTTCCTCCAGATCCTGCTTGCGCTGATGTGGGCATTGCATGTGGGTCCCATCTACATCTTTAGCCATTCAAGCTTTATCCGTTCTCAGTATTTTTCTTCTTAAAGTTCATAACCAAGAAATCTCTGAAGAATAGTCTCACAAGAACTCTATGTGGGTTTTTTCATTGACTGTTACAGCAAATGTATGAGGCAAAAGAAGTGAAGTCTCCAGTACTTTGCTGATATTCATACAGATCTATAATAATCAGGACTTGAACCCCTGTGTTCTAGCTACAAGTCCAGATGTCTGTGTTGAGCTAAAGGTGCTTCTTTTTTATTTTTTGACAGGCAGAGTTAGACAGTGAGAGAGAGAGAGAGACAGAGAGAAAGGTCTTCCATTTTCTGTTGGTTCACCCCCCAAATGGCTGTTATGGCCGGCGCACTGCGCTGATCCGAAGCCAGGAGCCAGGTGTTTCCTCCTGGTCTCCCATGCAGGTGCAGGGCCAAAGGACCTGGGCCATCCTCCACTGCACTCCTGGGCCACAGCAGAGAGCTAGACTGGAAGAGGGGCAACCGGGACAGACTCCAGTGCCTCAACTGGGACTAGAACCCAGGGTGCCGGCGCCACAGGAGGAGGATTAGCCTAGTGAGCCGCAGCGCCGGCCAAGGTTGCTTCTAATGTGACAAGATCAGAGTGTATCCTAAATACTTATTTTAATACTTGCTTTATTATTTTTTTTAAAATGCATGTATTTGTTTGACAGAGAGAGAGAGTGTGTTCCCATCTACTGGTTCACTCCCCAGATGCCTGCAATAGCGGGGGCTGAGCCAGGCCAATGCTAGAAGACAGGGATTCAATTTAAGTCTTCCTTGTGAGTGACAGGGACCCAACCCCTTGAAATGTCAACTTCTTCTACCTAGGGTCTGCATTAGCATGAACCTGGAGTCAGAAGTTGGACCTGGGAACTGAACCCTGGTACCTGATATTGGATACAGGTGTCTTAACTGCTAGGGTAAATGCCTACTCCTGTTATAATTCATCAATAGTTAGCATACTGTGCTTTCCTAAATTAAATGGGATACTTTAGATAATTCTGGATCATCCCATTTGTCCTACCATTCACACTGTATTTTATCTTTTAAAATTATGCATGCAATTTTTATTGTATTATACAGTTCATTGATTACCTGATAATATCTCTGAGTCTTGAGTCCTCTGCTTTTACCTTCTAAATATTTATGCTTTTAGTTACTTAAAGCTGACACTGAATATATGAATTTGTCCTCTCGCATTCTTTAAAAAAAAAGATTTCATTTATTTATTTGAGAGACAGAGTTACAGTGAGAGGGAGACAGAGGGAAAGGTCCTCCATCCGTTGTTTCACTCCCCAGGTGGCTGCAATAACTGGAGCCATGCCGATCCGAAGCCAGGAGCCAGGTGCCTCCTCCTGGTCTCCCATGTGGGCACAAGGGCCTAAGAACCTGGTTCATTCTCCACTGCTTTCCCAGACCACAGCAGAGAGCTGGATTGGAAGAGCAGCTGGGACCAGAACCGGCGCCCACATGGGATGCTGGCGCCGCAGGCAGAGGACTAACCTACTGCAACATGGCGCCGACCCCCTCTCTCATTCATAACAGTAAAAATATGGTAGTGAATCAGAAGGTTTGTGGAAAATTAAATTAAAAGATGTTTATTTTAGTAGAAAAAATTTTGAAATCCATGCATATGAGGTCTTCAAAAAGTTCATGAAAAAATGTATATTTTGAAAAACTGGCTGGCGCCGCGGCTCACTAGGCTAATCCTCCGCCTAGCGGCGCCGGCACACCGGGTTCTAGTCCCGGTCGGGGCACCGGATTCTGTCCCGGTTGCCCCTCTTCCAGGCTAGCTCTCTGCTGTGGCCAGGGAGTGCAGTGGAGGATGGCCCAGGTGCTTGGGCCCTGCACCCCATGGGAGACCAAGAAAAGCACCTGGCTCCTGGCTCCTGCCATCGGATCAGCGCGGTGCGCCGGCCGCGGTGGCCATTGGAGGGTGAACCAACAGCAAAGGAAGACCTTTCTCTCTGTCTCTCTCTCTCTCACTGTCCACTCTGCCTGTCAAAAAAAACAAAAAAACAAAAAAACAAAAAAAAAAACTATGCATGATTTCAAAATTTTGTTTATACCAAAATAAACATATTTTAATTCCATTTTCCATGAACTTTTTGAAGTACTTTCACATAATAAGATATTATCCACATGGTGGAAGGAAATGGAAAGAAAATATCACCTGTCAAGAGGTTTCAGTGTATTTTGAGAAGGAAGCAGATAGTGGGATGGTAACTGGTTTAACAGCATGGAGGGAATTATCAGCTAAAATGATCAGTTTTCTCATGAGGGAAGACATATTAAAAAGCAAGCCCACAGAATTTCTGAAAGTCCCGGGCTTGATGCAGAGACAGGAATAGGTGAGCTGCACGGCTGAATAGAGTGAAAGTTTGACCATCCTCCCCTGAGCCCTGAATAGTCCCACCTGGACGATTACTTTCCAGGCAAGATATGGGAGATTCTTCTCTGGAAATTCTAAGCCATCGCTCCAGAGACACCCCAGTCATGTCATTTATTCTTTTAGTCAACAAGTATTTATTGAGCTCCAATTATGCTCAAATCATTGTTCAAAGCACTATGAATAAGACACAAACTACTGTCATTCAGAGTTATCTCCTTGTGGACAGAGGTGAACAGTGAGCTTGTAAGGAAATACTTAATGTGGTTTTCAAGGGGAATGCATGCTGTATGGTGACACTGTGTGGATGTTTTCCTTGTATCACTCTCATGTTTGCTCAGGAAGTAAAAATCTTCACTAGAACCACCCCCATTTGCTTCCACTCACCTCTCTCATTGGCCAGTATTCGTAGATCAAAGGAGGCTGGAAAAATAAGCAAGTGGACTGGGATAGCCAGGCTGGGTTTAGCCTTAGCAGGTTCATCCTGTGGCTGGATTGTGGTCCTGAGTAAATCAGGGCCCTTTTGTCAAGTGGAAAGAAAACAGTATCTTATGTGAACTCACACAGCAGTGTATGCCACAGACGTATGCTTGGATTGTGCGCAATCTCGAATGGTTCATTGTTGGCTTTCCCCATTTCTCATGAAAATCCAGGGCATACTATGACTGTCAAGACAGGTGTATTGTATTCAAGGATATGTGACAACGGAAGCTGAATTAAGGAATCAGGGTGTTAGAAAGTGTTCTGTTCATTGTAACATTGAAGATGGTGTTTATACCACCGATTCGTATGGGTTTGGAGCCCCATGATTAGTTCTTAGGCTGTATCCTTAGAGGTGAGTCTGTATGCTTGTATGCATAACTATATATATATTTTTTTTTACAGTTTTAGACTACCTCCTCCATCTCTTATTCCCTCCCTTGTTTTTTAGCTGGTATCTTTTCCCAATTGCTTTAAAATACATATAATTAACTCTGTGTTACATAGAGAGTTCAGACTACAGTGTGAGGTAGATGAGAGAGAGAGAGAAAGAAAACAGAAGAAAAAGAAAAAAAAACCTCCATAGCCCTGGCAGCTCCCGACAAGAGCCTCGGGTGATCACTGATGTCATAAAAAGAGTGTTAATTGTTAAAGGAACGACAGTAGTCAATGTGCACCTGCTCCCCAGGTAGGACCTCTGTCCCTATGGAATTGCAATATGAGAATCGACTGCAAATTGCCTCCCCAAACTGTACTCTATATATTTTGTGTGGGCGTGGGGGCAAATTGTTGAACTCTATGATCAGCATAGAGATGGTCCTCTATATATAAAGTCATACTAAAAATGATCCACAATGAAGAAGGAGATGGGAGAGGGAATGGGAAGTGGGAAGGGAGCAGGGTGGGGGGCATGAGGGAAAGAACCACTGTATTCCTAAAGTTGTATCTATGTAAAAATGCATTCATTAAATAAATAAAAAAAGAAAGTATTCTGAATGTGTTCTATTGTATTATTTTAGATTAGTTTATCTGAAAGGAAGAACAACTGGGAGAGAGAAGAGTGGGAGAGGGAGAGGGGGGAGAAGAGATAGAGATAGAGACAGAAAGAGATTATGAGAGATTGATCCTCCATTTGCTGGTGCACTTCCCAAATGGCCACAATATCCAGGAACTCCATCCTGGTCTCCCACATGGGTGGGAGAGACACAACTACTTTAACCATCTTCTTCTGCTTTCCCTTGGGCATTAGCAGGAAGCTAGATTGGGAATGGAGGAGCCAGGACTCTAACCAGGACTCTGATGTGGGATGGTGATGTCACAGGCAATGGCTTAATCCACAGTGCCATATCACTGGCCCCTGGCCATTTGTATTTTATCTGATGGATAAGCCATCATGTATTCATTCATACATGTTTATCCAATCCTGCTACTTAGCAGGCAATCATTAATATTGAACTCTTCCTATGTGCCTGACACTATTCTAATTATTTTACGTATCTAATCTCATTCAACTTTAATAAAAATGCAGTGGGGGAAGGTACCACTATTTATGGCCAGTGACCAATGATGGAACTTAGCATCAGTCACTATTCCAAGGTCAGAGGGATGTAGACATAGACAGTCTGGCTCTAATGCCCATGTCTACAATGAGTAAGTTGGGCCACTGAGCAGAATAAATAACAATTCTTATGGAATGTTCAGGACCAGAGTGAAACAATGTGGTTTTTAAAAAGGTATTTTAAACTTTTTGTAATCATTTCATTTCTCTGAAGTTTTGGTTTACGATTCATTTAGTTTTGAAATAATACTTAGGCATCAGTCAAGATTTCCTATTCTTAGAATTTCCGAATTCAAGTTATTCAAAATGTTTATAATTCTTTAAGGGACTTAGGAAACCATCCTGGTAATAGAGTTGAACCTTCTCTTCCCATTACAGTGATTCTTCCTTTTATAATATTCCCTGTACTCCTCCATGGGAGGAACTCTTGCCATCTCTGTTCTATTTAGAGAAGTGAGGTAACTTTCCCAGGTCACGTAGCTAGCACGTGGGAGCAAAAGGACCCACGTATAGGTTTGCTGACTCAGACTGTGCGTTATCCTTGTTGGAAGACTGTGTCAGTGTTCAAGTCCCATCTTTTCCACTGCTGGGTGACCTTGAGCAAGCTCCTACACTGTGCTTCAGTTTCCTCCTATAGAGAAAAAATATGGAATAACCACGGGTGAGGATGAAATGGATTCATTTTCATAGAGTGCAGAGAGCATGACCTGTTCACACAGTAGGTGTGCAATAAAGTAATGCCTCCCACAGCTTTATTTGTTTTCCTTTGCTCTTTCAGGTTGGTGGGTTTTATACTGAGGAGTAATTTTAGGGTGTTCATTTACCTTTTTGTATTTGCTTAGCCAGCTGCTCTTCCTCCTCAAGATTGGCCATGGATCACAAGTGTTCAGCTGCCTACTGTTTTCCCACAGTTAATTGAAGTGGTTGGTACTAAAAGTAGCAAACTTGCTTGCTGTTCCACAGACTTTTTGATGAATTAAAAAGATGACAATTGCAAGAAAAAATCCTGTTAGCTTAGAAATTTATGTTGTAGGAATATGATATAAACTTAGAGAAGGTCTTTTAAGCAGAATGGAATTATGGAGTTATGGAGTCATTTTATCTTCATTTAGAGAGGCTCTGAAGAATTTTGTTCATTTAAAATAGCAATAAAATCACAATAAAATTTCTGTGGGAAGGAAATGTGATACCTCTTTTAAAAAAAAGCAGCCAGGCTCTCTGTGATCTAAGAGTGAAAGCTCTATTGAAAAGTGAACCATTGAACAGTGTTTAAGGTATAATATTTAGTAGAGAAGCAAGTTTTATGTCATATGGATGGCTGTGCTCCTGCAAATGGAGAATTAGGCTTTGATATATGCTCATTTTCAGGTAAGTAGGCACACAAATGTATGACTTGTGAAATGAATCATATGTAGTCACACATCATGCAATTCAAGCTATAATTTTAACTTTTCTGCTTCTGATTGTAGAAAAATAAGAGGACATTAGTGGAGGTGGAAAAATAAATCAAAAATATTTTTTTCAAAGTTGATGACTTTCTCTAGAACACTGTTGTCAGAGTGCAGTCCGATGATCCCTGGGGGTTGCGGATAGCCTTTGAGGGCTCTTCTATGGAGTCAACCACAATACTAGGATATTTTTATCTTTTTTCACTTACCTTCTTATGCAAATGCACAGTGGAGTTTTCTAGTTTGAGAGGCAAAGATAGAGGGAGAGAGAGAGAGAAAGCATGACAGCATGTCCCCATTCACAGGTTCATTCCTCCAATGCAGCAGCCACCCACTCCAGCTAGGTCAGACAGAAACTGAGAATCAAGAACTCAGCCCAGGTCCCCTAAATGGGTGGCAGGGACTCAGTCACTTAAACCACTGCCTCCCAGAATTTACATTACCAGGAAGCTGGAGTGAGGAGCCAGAGGCAAGTATTTATTTTTGAATTTTATCAATTTGAAAGGCAGAGTTACAAATGGCGGCAATGACCTCTACTGGGCCAGACCAGAGCCAGGAGCCAGAAGCTTCTTCCAGGGCTCCCATGTGGGTACAGAAGCCTAAGACTTTGGCAATCCTCCATTGCTTTCCCAGGCACGTTAGCAGGGAGCTGGCTAGGAAGTGGAACAGTCGAGACTGGAACTGGTGGCCGTATGGGATGCTGCTGCTGCAGGCAATAGCTTTACCTGCTGCACTACAACACACACCCCTAGAGGCAAGTATTAAACCCAGACACTCCAACAAAGGACACAGGTGTCCTAACCAACATCTTAATTGTAGACCAAATGCCCACCCCAAGTTTTAGCTTTTAATATGGTAAATATATACCGATATAATCCATATAAATAAAAGCTCTGGTGTCCTGGGAAAATTTTAAAAGCACAGTGGATCCCTGAGATGAAAAAGTTTTCAAACCTCTGCTTTAGAAAAAGATAGCTTACGATGGACGAGGGGGTCCCCTTGCAGCTATGGCTGACATCCCGCCTGGTGAGGACCAGGGCCACGTACATGACCAGAGAAGTGCAGCTTTCTTCGTCGCTATCGTCACTTTATATGGATCATGTAATTTGTTCACGAGTTTTGTGTCAGTCTCCCTGGCTAGAGCATAAGCTCCATGAGGGTAAGGGATTTGGGACTGTTTTGTTTGTGGCTGTGTCCCCAGTGCTTCCAATGACCTCTAGTATGTACCTATGGAATGCACTGATTTAAATCCAAGACATTGAGATGCACATTAATTGTTGACTGTTATCTATAATATCCCTGGCATCTCTGTAAGGTTCTGTTGTTACCTACAATCTGTTTGGATAAGTGAAGTAACTTGCTCCACATCACCCAGATGGCCAGCAGCAAAAGGACTCAGTGCACCATTGCTCTTGTCCGATCTTCACCTTAGCAGGTCTGCTGTATGTTTGTTTCTGGCTAAGGCCAGATAAGTAGGATTGTGTGGCAGGTGTCACACATATAACAGGTGCAATGCAGGGAGGCCAACTCATTCAGGAGGAAAACAGCCATGAGTCCTAGGTCTCAAGGCAGTCAGGAGCTGGTGTCAGAGGGGAGGCCCTGCAGGGCAGGTTGGTAAACAGAGTCCATCCCAAAGGCAGACCAAATTCCGACTCGTCCTGTGCCCTTTGCTTGAAAGACTGACATCCTTGTGATTAGGAAGGGAGGGTACAGGAGTCTGGCTGCTGGGTATTTGAGTCTCAGTTCTTCCACTTGCTTACTGTGTCATCTTTGGAAAGTTGTATATAAAGTCAATGTGATGGTAATATGAAGGTACTTCCGAAAGTTGGTGGGAAAAGGGAATTGTCAGTTTATCTCGCTGCAAAAATGTGCTTAAAATTCAGCTATCATTTTTTTCTTAATATGGGTTTTTCAGGAAATTCTTGAAGACCTTCTCTCATATGTATGGATTTCAAAATTTTTTTTCACCAAAAGAAACTCATTTTTAATTCCATTTTCCATAAACTAGTTGAAGTACTCTTGTTTTCACAACCACTCTGTAGGACTGCTTTAGATCTAGTGAATATGTGTATATGTATATGTATAAAATTTTTTTTTTGATGCTGAGAATTTCTCCTTGTTTCTCAGCAGCCCTCTCTTTCCTTTTTTTTTTTTTTTTTTTTTTTAAGATGTATTAATTTTATCTGAAAGAGTCACAAAGAGAGAGGCAGGGGCAGAGAGAGAGAGAGGTCTTCTATTCACTGGTCTACCCCTCAAATGGCCACAATCACTGAAGCCAGGAACCAGGTGCCTCCTCCAGGTCTCCCATGTTGGTTCAGAGCCCAAGCACTTGGGCCATCTTCCACTGCTTCCCCAAGCACATTAACGGGGAGCTGGATCCGAAGCAGAGAAGCTGGGACTCGAACTGGTGCCCATATGGGATGCCAGCACTGTAGACGGCAGCTTTACCCTCTATGCCACAGCACCAGCCCTGAGTGTTAGGAATTTTTAAAAATAATTTTTCTTTATTTTTACTAATTTCAGAGGAAGAGAGGGAGAGAAATTTTCCATTCAGTTTGAAGGATTCCTATTAATATAAAATTAGTGTACAAGTAGATTTAAAAATATGTAAGGATGGCAGCGATTCCAGAGAGCAAAGGCCAATCATTTCTTTTAGGTGATGACTCCGTGCTACAATGCTATGGCTCAAGTCTTCGATAAGAGGAGGGAGATCTAGGTCTCATCTTATCTCCTTTCCTTTCCTGTCTGCTCTTTCCCTTCCACTATGCCCCACAATGTGGAAGAGTGTGCCACGGAGAGGCCTGGCAGTCTGGGGATTTAGGTTGTGGTCTTAGTCTGCTCTGCTGTAACCGACAGTGTGCCCTTACATAAGCCACTGGGCCCCTGGGGACCCTGTCTCCGCATTTGGACATAAGGAAGCCAAACTGAATGGTTTAAAAAGTCCCTTCTCAGGCTGATTCTGGGAATTTACTTAAGTTACCCAGAAATACTAGGACTTCCTGGAATGAAGCGAGGAGTCCAGATGGTCCAGCACTAGGGCTCAGGCCGTGCCCCCTCAGTAAGGCACTCGGTATCCTCAAAGGAACATCTGTCCATCCTCAGGGACAAAGCTCCTCCCAGCCCTCTGCCTGGTTCTAAAACAATGCGCAGTTAACAAGAAGCTGTTTGTCTCAACAAAGTCATCATTCCCTGGGAAAAATGCTCTTGACAGCTTCGTTTATCTTCCTCACCTCCTCATCAGTCGTACTGTGTGAATGTTCCTGTTATTCATCATGTTTTAAAATTAGCTTCTTAATCCTTTAATATTTTCAACTTCTCTGCCTTAAGATACACACTCAGCCTGAACTCTGTTTTGGGCAGCCTTTGTATAGCATCTACGTAACAAGGATAGATTGCTTCCATATCCTTGGCTTCTTCACTAAATGAAGTGCATTTACTCAGTGCTCTCATTTTTGTTCTTGGTGGAGTGGACCTGATTTGCTCAATGAAGTTTGCCTTTGAAATTTAGCGCCTCGTTCTTTATCTCCATGTGCCAAGATGTCAGCAGCAGTTTAAATCCTTGACTGGAGCATGTCTTTCTTCGTTAGTGAGAGCATCCTTTTCCCACAAGATGTTGGCTCACTTTCTTTTTCCTAGCTCTTCTTTCTTCTTTACTCCCTAAGTAGTCTATCTCCAAGGTCCTATCCTTAGCCTTCACTTTCTAAATAATTCTCTTCCTTGGAGATTTTATTCACTAACAGCATCATATCCCCTTTAAGCTGTTGACACCCAACTCTTGTCTTTTGATTTTTAGGTAGTTTTTAAAATGAGCTATTTACTTCTATCATTTATTAGCTATTTATTTAGCACCTGTGATGAATGGCCTACCATGCTGGTGCTACAGAGAAAAAGATTGGTGGCTTTCTCTGCCTTGAAATGATTCTAGTGGAGTCTAATTGAAATGACACACACAGTCAGATAATGTCAACCAGTATGACAAGTGCCAGAATGGAGTATTAAAGAAACTACACTGGGAACATAGGGAAGTGAGTAACCAGCTCTCTGGGGGCTTTCAAGGCAAAGCTTCCCAGAAGAAAGCACATTGGAGCTGAATCTTACAGCTTGAGTAGGAGTTTGTGGGTTGTGATGCTGCCAAACCCTCCTGCTCTGTTCAGTCTGATGTTCAGCTGCCCCCTCACATCCAACATGCCAGTCTTCATATTTCTTCCTAGCTGGCTTCACCCACTTGCCTTTCTTATTTTATTATTCCCCCAGTCATCCAGGGACCACATTTTCAGCATTTTTTAAAAAAAGATTTATTTTATTTAATTGAAAGAGTTGCAGAGAGAAGTACAGACAGGGAGAGAGGTTTTCCATCTGCTGGTTCACTCCCCAGATGGCTACAATGCCTGAGCTTCACTGATCCGAAGCCAGGAGCCAGAAGCTTCTTCCAGGTCTCCCACAAGGGTACAGGGGCCCAAGGACTTGGGTCATCTTCTACTGCTATCCCAGGCCATAGCAGAGAGCTGGATAGGAAGAGGAGCAGCTAGGATTAGAACCAGCGCCTTTATGGGATGCTGGCTCTTTAGGCCAGGGCTTTAACCTTCTGCGCCACAGTGCCGGCCCCCACCATTCCTTTAATTTTGTTTTTACCATTGCCCCACAATCAGATCACACAGCTCTCTTCCTTCTTCCTTCATCATTTTTGTTCATCTGCCCCATTTGCTTCGTTCCATCTGGATTATAGCAGTGGCCCCCTGCCTGATCAATCTGCCTAAACCACTTCCCCCATTTAACCTGTTTTGTTCATCACTGCCCGGTTCATCATTTTTGGATACCAGTTTGGTTTTGTTACTTGCCTATCTAGAAATAATGGAGGTCTGACATTTGTTCAGTGCTTATGTTTTTTATGCTATCACAATTAACTATCAAGACAAGCCTGGGCCGGCGCCGCGGCTCACTAGGCTAATCCTCCGTCTTGCGGCGCCGGCACACCGGGTTCTAGTCCCGGTCGGGGTGCCGGATTCTGTCCTGGTTGCCCCTCTTCCAGGCCAGCTCTCTGCTGTGGCCAGGGAGTACAGTGGAGGATGGCCCAAGTTCTTGGGCCCTGCACCCCATGGGAGACCAGGAGAAGTACCTGGCTCCTGCCTTCGGATCATTGTGGTGCGCCGGCCGCAGCGGCCATTGGAGGGTGAACCAACGGCAAAGGAAGAAAGGAAGACCTTTCTCTCTGTCTCTCTCTCTCTCTCACTGTCCACTTTGCCTCTAAAAAAAAAAAAAAAAAAAAGACAAGCCTGTGAAATAATGTGCCTTCCTGAATATCTCCCCCAAATTTACAAAGCAGTCATCTATGAGTTTCTGGACAGGAGCGATGACACTTGTTAGTCTCAGTGTTTGTAGTGTCTTGCACAGAGCTGGTTCATAAATGATGCCCGGTATGTATTGTATGATGAATTTGTTCCCAACTTGTATCTTCGTATCTCTATGTTCCCAGTAAAACTTACTTGATCAGAAGATGTTGAGATTGAGTTATTAAAAAAAAGACTAGACAGTTTTCCCTGATATTTCACGTGCTGATACTGAAGTTCTACCCCTGCTCAGCAATCAAAGGATCACCTCTTGATGCTGGGATTCCTACTGTTGCTGAACAGCTCTGAAAACCTCAAGATTCCTGATGGGTTCTGAGCATTCAGCACTGTGTAGAGACCTAAGCCACTTCTTGAGCAACTGCTTTCCTTAATTATGCAGCCAAGGATCCATGCACATGGTAGTCTGTATTATTGTTAAAATCAGACTCAATTCAATTTTCTTACATGAATTTCAATGACTTTATGTGATAATTAAATAGCAGGTATTTATTGAAATTTTCTGGTCTTTCAACTTTTTCTTTGTAATCTGTTGGTATGATGGCTTACAATCTATATTTGTTCATCTGCTTTTTTTAAAGATTTATTTATTTATTTGAAAGCGCAACACAGAGAATGGAGAGACAGAGAGAGAGAGAGGTCTTCCATCTGCTGGTTCACTCACCAGATGGCTGCAATGGCTGGAGCTGCACTGGTCTGAAGCCAGGAGCCAGGAGCTTCCTCCATGTCCTCCACGCGGGTGCAGGAGCCCAAGGACTTGGGCCATCTTCTACTACTTTCCCAGGCCATAGCAGAGAGCTGGATTGGAAGTGGAGTAGTCAGGACTTGAACCAGCGCCCACATGGCACTGCAGGTGGCGGCTTTACCTGCTATACTGCAGAGCCGGCCCCTGTTCATCTGCTTTTTTGTTTTGTTTTGTTTTTGACAGGCAGAGTGGACAGTGAGAGAGAGAGACAGAGAGAAAGGTCTTCCTTTTGCTGTTGGTTCACCCTCCAATGGCCGCCGTGGCCTGCGCGCTGCGGCCAGCGCACCACGCTGATCCGATGGCAGGAACCAGGTGCTTCTCCTGGTCTCCCATGGGGTGCAGGACCCAAGCACTTGGGCCATCCTCCACTGCACTCCCTGGCCACAGCAGAGAGCTGGCCTGGAAGAGGGGCAACCGGGACAGAATCTGGCGCCCCGACTGGGACTAGAACCTGGTGTGCCGGCGCCGCAAGGTGGAGGATTAGCCTAGTGAGCCGCGGCGCAGGCCCATCTGCTTTTATAATTGATGTTTGTTCAATTGCTTATATTAACTCAAATTTAAAGAAAACTAGTAGTAGAGGGGATAATATAAACATTTAAAGACATTAGTGATATAACTATTTAACTCTGGTCTGTGAAAATTTGAAGTTATTTTTATATTAGTTCCCTCCTCAAATGCCCACAAGGGCCAGGGCTGGGCCAAGTTGAACTCCACAGCTGGGAGCTCCATGCAGGTCTTTATACTGCTGGCAGGGACACAACTAGTAAAACATCACCTGCTGCCTCCCAGGACATCCATTAGCAGGAAGTTGGAATCTGGAGCCTGAACTAGGATCCAAAGATGGGGACTCCTATATGGGATGTGAGCATCGTAACCCTCAGCTGCACTGCTCAGCCAGATACACAGCCTCTTGAAATGTTTAAACCTCACTGTGCAATTAAAAGGATCTGGGTAAGCTTGCCTGGCAAAGACCAATTAGCATAAAAAGAGTAAATGACTTTTTGGGTTGTTACGTTTTTTTATGAAATCAGAGAACATAATCTATCCTGCATTTTAAAAGGCAGCTTGCTGACACGAAGAATATGATGAGCCAGCAAACTATTTAGAAATGTGGTTCACATTGCAGTAATGGTTTATGCTCTTTCTCAGCCAAAATGCTTTGACGTTTTAGACTCTTTCCAAGAGTTCCTGCTGCCCTCTGCTGGTTCAGCAGCAACCCTCTAAATGGAGACTAGATGACACAGTTCATTGTGATGAGATTTTCAGGAAAGGGAAAAGATTCATAATTTTTAAAATAGAATATGAAAATGAGCTGAAGTAAAAAGTTCTTTTTTCTAGAATCATGGTTGTAAATATAGAACAGGGATTGACAGTGTGCCCTGGGAAAAGCTGTGTCTTCTCTGTCCAACACATACATACTCCCATGGGTGAATTCAGGTTGTTGGAAGCAAGTTAGATTTAAAGGGAGGCAAGCTCCAATCTTGGGCACTGTGTGTGTAGGTAAGGGGTACAAAGATGGGATAATGGCAAGAGGA